TTTCCACATCTAACTGAGGCTTTGTATCGGGTCGAACTGCTGGGAGTGTTTAATTTGAACCCTAAGCACATCGTGGTAATTGAAATGGAGCATTTGACATCAACTTTTTTTATATATCTAAAGCACATGCATGATCCCGTGATCTTTGTAAGAGAGAGATGATCACAGAAGGAATGACTTTTGAGACCCATCTTGTGGTCTTGAAATCATGGTGTCTTGTTCATATTCTTGGTCTTGGTATCGGTCTTGACTCCCAAGACCTGATGCAACTTTGAATGATTGTTATCGAAAGTATTCCTCTTATCTTGGTCTTGCAAACCCAGGTCTCAACCACATTATCGTGCAGAAATCTGGAAGAATTAAATATTTTTCAATGAAACTTCAGGAATAAAATCTTCTGGAAAACAGTCTTCAGGAACACAATCTTCCAGAAGATATTATGGGACCCATCAGTTTTAATTGACCCTTAGTAGCCTTGTCGCTGTGCGGTCAGAGCAGGTTCTTGTTACAGGTCCTTGTAGTTTGGTTTGTTTTGGACATGGGAGGAGGATGTGCAGATTTCCAGAGCGATGTAACTATCAACCGAAAACAGGATTCATGAAATCTGAAGCAGTAGAGCAATACCACCCCCCCCCCTCTCGACTACATTCTGATGGGCCTAAACAGTATGAACTAACTGGGTAACTTGTGAGTTGTTATGCTTTCCTGGTGCCCAGCAGATGAATTTTTGTTTTGGTATTGCCTCATAGAAGTGAACTTTAATACAGACATTCCCTATGCATACCTTATTACCTTTGAAAGTTGTGGTACTTATGAATAATTGAATAAGGTTTCTTAAAAGTTCCCTTATTAGCAAGAGATTGATAACTTTATACAGTAGGACTAGAAGTGTTAGTAAAATAAACAATTAAGGGGTCCACATCTAAGTTAGATATAAAGTTTATAATTTGGGTTTTTGTAAATTTAGCATTCTCTTAGAAGGATGAGAGTTACAAACTCCAAAATCGGCAAAGTATATCAAAGAAGGTGGACAGGCATTTAGCAAAGATATGTAGAGAATGATTGTTGTAAGAGCTCATAATAAAACTATTTCTCTGCTATCTTCTTCTTTCTAGATCTGAAAATTTTCTATAAATATAGTATGCGTTTGGAAGGATAACAACAATTAAAGTTAGTTATGGTTTATGGTGTGGTGAATAATTAACCTCTTATTCATGGTATTCATTCTATTTATAGCTCTGATTGCACATTTGAATTGTAGTTTCATGTTAACGTGGGTAGTTCCATCATGGACTACTTCATCATACCATTCTAAACCAATAAAAGAAAATATTTATATATTTTTATTAATATTTTAGGTAGGTCATGAAATAGTCTATTGAACAGACTGGTCCAACCATGGTTTGTCCATCACAATTGTCTCAAATTGTCACAAATTGACCCCCTCTCCACCAACATCTGCCCCCTTTATCACCCCCTCTACCCCTCCCAATCCTCCTAAAAGCGGAACGACAAGAAATCACGTACATAATAGTTCTATGTGTATTCCTGTTGCAGTCATTATTTCTCTCAGCAGAGTGGAGGAAATGTCAAATAGGAAAGAATGTGTCATCTAATCTCCTGGCCTTGACCAAAATTGGCCCAGGGGCTACGGTGCGCTCTCTCTGTCTCCCTCCGAAGAGAAAGAAAGCTCCCTTGTCTTAGCCCCCCAAATTTCTTTTTTTATTTGACCCCTTTCCTCTCCCCCTCCCCCAATTTATCGTCCCATCCTCCGATTTATCACAGGTTGTTATGAATGGGGAACTTGCATCTGACATTGCGCTGTTCTTCTTCTTCCCCATTCGGGATTGTCCTTGCCACATGACATTGCAGGTGTAAGGAACATTGTCTCAGATTCTCTCAGTGTCAGCTATTGTTGTTCGTAGTGGAAGCGTAAGATGGAAGCTAAAATCAATCTATTTGAAATGCATCTCGTATATTCATGGCGAGATCCTAGTTCCTGTTCCTAAAAAAATGTTTTTCTCTGCTTCTTGGAGAAGTAAATATTTTTCCTTTGGATTTTGCCCTGCTCTTCTCATCTCGTCATTTTCATCTTATCTTATTTTCATCAGCATCTTATCCTAGTCCCAACTCCCTTCCATATTCTTTGTTGTGTGTTTCATAAAAGTCCAAAATTTCTTTCATGTATTAGTAATTTATTCCTTGATAGGCTCTTTCTCCGTGTTGTTCTTTAACTGCTTTTCTTCTTGTCTCCTCGGCTTTCTCTCTCTCTCTCTCTTTCTCTCTCTCTTTCTCTCTCTCTCTTTCTCTCTCTCTCTGTCTCAGTCTTTCTGTCTTTCTCTCTGTCTCTCCTGTATCTCTCTTTCTTTCTCTGTCTCTGTCTCTGTCTCTCTATGTCTCTCTCTCTCTCTTTCATTGATATTTTCTTTGAAGATGAAATGTGCTATAGAATCTTAGGTCATTATTGTATCATTATCTGTCTCTGTCTCCCCCCCCCCCCCCTCCCCTCTCTACCTACCCATCTCCCTACCTCTACCCTCCTTTCATTCTCTCTCTTTACCGGGTAACCATCTCTTTTTGCTGCCCGTTACACTCTGTGATTGATAGGCCCTTGTCTTTGTCTAATGACTCTGTGGCATCTAATGGAGTATTACTGCAGCCACTTCTCATGCAGTGTTCTCATTGCACAGTATCTACTCCTCAGTGCCATCCCCACTTTATGCACGTCGTCTAATGGACGATGCGTGCATGCATGCATGCAAGTACTGCGGGACCATTAGTATCTCAACATCGGACCTCAACATAGACTCTTACAGAATGTAGTGATAAATATCCTTTGAATGATTAACCAATTGTTTAACTGGGACAGTTGAAGGAGCAAGAGGGTAAAAGAAGACCATGACAAAATACAATCAACACATCTATTTTCAGAAACTGTTACTTTCTAAACGAGAGCTAGCTCAAGCTCTCTTAAGCAGTGTAGGTATACCACTATTGATGGATAATCAAAATGAAAACACACCTCCGACACTACCGGTATGTCAGCACACCTCCTACCTTTTTTACATGCCTGCCTGTTCCAAAGCATGAGAAGGCATTGTACACCACAGAAAGATGCGTTTTGCAATGTGATATTTTTTTATTTTTTTTTTAACAATTTTGTTTTATTTCTCCAGATGTGTAACACAAACCATGACATACAATTGAATAAAATAAACGTGTTCAATATTGATGCTTTTACATAAACATAATTAAACACAAACTTATTTGCAGTATAATATAACTTAACAACAAAGTAAACGTATAAGTACCTAAACATAATATGTCAATTGTAAATGTTATTTACTTATATATTACAAAAAAAAACAAATCTGGAGATAATTTTACTGAAACAATCCTGCCCCCTCCCTGCCCCCTACATCACACAGACATACTCACCCTCTATCACACAAACATACTCACCCACTCACACACATACTCACCCACCCACCCACCCACCCCCCCCCCCACACACACACACAGTACTCACTCAGTGGATGTCTGCCAACATTCTCAACTTAAGAAAAATATACTAAATAAGTTATCCAGGCCGCAAAATCGAGTTACGCTTTTAACAAGCTCACGGTGGAGAAGAAAGCAAATCTTAATTAATCTTAAGCTGCTCCCACTTTAAAAAATGTGATCCTAGCTTTCCCATTTTAATTGCTATTTTCTTTTCCTCATCCCTATACTTAAAAATGCTTTTTTTCATCTTTTCTAAAGTTAGTACTCGCCCCCCCGATCTTGACATAAATGTAACATACTTCACCATGAAAATGATAGTATTACACATTTTTATTCTATATGAACTACCTACCAACCCAACAAATATATCTCGCCATTCTAAATCTTTAATTTCATCTAACTCAAAAAGTTGTATTAAAGCCTGCCATAACCTTTGAACGCTCCCACAAGATAAAAATAAATGTTTGTATGTTTCTATTTCCTGCTTACAAAACGAACATAAATTATCACCAACAAAACCAAATCTATGAAAATGCTCATTAGTGTATATGGCTCCATGCAATAATTTAAATTGAAATTCACGTTGTTTTCTAATGAGTATAGTAATTCTTGGTCTCACAAATATTTCTTTTAATTCTTTATCTATAAAATCATAGTCATTTTGCCCATCCCTTACCTGCAAATCATACGTTCGCTGCAGTGCTTTGATGAAATAATCATAGATTGTTCTTGAACCCACATCCACAAACTGTATTTTTTTACTAGAAATATGGAAATAAGTATTAAAGTGATATCACTGCAGTGGGAATGCACCCCACACACTCTGCGGAATCTCTCCTCCCTCCCTACTCCCTCCCTACTCCCTGCATACATTAGCCATTCAGCGTAGTCATTACCACAAATTCTACACATCTCACTGCCTAATTTACTTTAATTTTTGATGAGTTCTCCTCTGTTTACTAGGCTCATCACGTTAGTCACGCATAGAACAAGTGCATAATTTACCCGACAATTTGCACACTCTTTGACACACTTTTTTTTTTTATAGTTCTTCTTCCCAGATTAGTTTTCATAACACAACAATGATATTGATGCTGCATTGGCTTATTGTGGTTGTCAGAGTTCATGGTAATGGGTTAATTACTTTTGCCTCTACCACAGTAATACGTGTTTGTGCATAATTGCATATGAGAGAGAATTTTATGATTTTTTTGGGGGGTGGTCTTTTGTAGTCTTTAATAATCTGTTAAACCCAGAAAGCCCAATCAACATATTAGATACACTAAATTGTCATTGCATACATTTCCAGTAAATTAAATTTGATGTAAACAAAAGTGAAAAAATTTCATATCACAATGCTTTCTTTGACACAAGTGAAAGTTATTGCAATAAATTATTTCAGTCATAATCATCAATGAAGTAAAAGCGAAAATGATCTTTACAGTGATTTGTGATTCAAAATTTAAATGTCTGTGTTTGTATTTATCTCATTTCAGTCATCACAATCTGGTAGTCAGAACCCCGGCCACACCCCACTGGTAGGCGGGGGAGGAGGCGGCGGCCCCAATTCTGTCGGCTATGGACCCCCTGACGATCTTCAGTCCAACCCCGGTTCAGACCCACCCCCTCTCCCCAACGTGATGTCTTCACTACATGGAGGAGGAGACAATGGAAGTGAAACAGGTTAGTTTGAGTCTTGGTTGCTATGGCAATTGAAGAGCCAGTTCCTTTTGGGTGTGTCTGGTTGGCATCTGATGGTGTGTTTTTGTTTATGATATTAGTGGAGGTTGAAATGAGATGAGTTTGGTAGATTACTTTCAACTTTTTACCGGCTTCAGTCGACCAAGGGAACAAATGGGACTGCAACGGTTGAGTTTTGTCACATGTACAGTATATACAAAATACTCTTAACAAAAAGTGGTGATACATGGTTATGTTCCATGGCACATAAAGAGTTAAAAACAAGAGAGATGCGAAGTATCCATAATATCATGAGTCGTTTATGAAAGTATAAGCCTGTGTTGGGTTTAAAATCCTGGTGTGATCGGTATGATTAACCATTCAGAAGATGATTCCTTCTGTTGGAAGCAATATATGAGTGAATATTAGTGTTCTTGTAAGGATTGGATTCGCTGGTTCAGTGAGGAAAGGTCCGTGTCTCTGTTTTGGAGTCTTGCACATGTACTGGACCATACACTGGAAGTCAGCAAAGTATGATTGCATCACGCAAGGGTTAAAGATATCATTTTGCAAACCAGCATGCATTTACTTCCACAGTTCCCCTCCTTGCCAATCTATTATAATCTACAGATTGCTTATGATATATTATGCATTCTAGACTCAAGATACATAAATTACTTGGCCTCTACAGAATTTCAAATGGAGGAGATTGTAGCTTGTCTTGACTATGTCTTAAAAGTAGTTTGTTCAATCAGAGGGTTTCTTTGTGGTCTTCTACTCTTTCAGGAAATTCATAATGCCCTGTGATGCTGTCTGTCATTATACAACAAGGTTTTGAACGGTATAGATCGCACCTGTCATGAAATGGGCTGTCTTTGTTCTTTCATTTTATTTTGTTTCATTTTTTAGTTTCGTTTCAATTATACACGGTTACATTCCAGCTTGTGGTTGTTCTTCAATATGTCTGTGGACGAGGTGAAAATACATTGTACCCAAAGAAAATGACAAATTCATTGCTTTCATTGTTAGCGCGGGCCTCGTTGGTGCAGACTATCCGTGATCAGCGTGTCTTAAAGATGATGCAGTTGTCTTGAGTCACTCGCGATGAGGCGTCCATCTATCAATCATCCCCCCTCACGACTCCCCGGGGTGTGGGCCCAGTTAATGAGAATGCATGGTGGAGCATCTCTTGATATAATACCAGTCCACTGCTACTACGGCTACATACTACTGCTAACTAGGCAGCATGGTCACACAGCTATGACCAATAGCATCTTCCTTGGAGAAAGGAGAATGCTTTGCCTGAGAGTTCACCCTTCTCTGCCCCCACCTCTCCTACCCCCTCCCAAGCATTTTTGATATAATACCAATGTTATACTACCATAAGGCAACATGGTCACATGCTATGAGTATAGCATCATCCTTGGAGAAAAGGAGAATGATGTACCAAAGTTTTTCCTTCTCTGTATCATTACTCCTTCCTCCTCCCCTCCCTCCTCTCCTCTCCTCCCCCTCTTTGTCTTTTTGCTTGTAATTTGCTCACCAGGTTACATTTCTAGGACCATTGAATCTTCTTTGGAGAACAGAGAATGCCTTGCCTTGCCTTGCCTTGGCGCCCACTCTCTACCCCAACCCCCATCCCACCCCTTTTGCTTTTTGCAAGGCTGGAGCTGTACCAGTTACACTTCAAATCATCTTCTACTTATCCACAAGCAACGAGGCACAGTTGCAATGGTTGATTATTAATGAATATTAAACCTCCCTATTTCCATTTAGTTTGACCATCCATATGATTCAGCGTTGTCGAAGGCTGCATGGAATTTATTATTGGAGCTACAGTCCATTATACTGGTTACACTTAACATCTACTAAGAGCCAGAAAGGCAAAACTATTTTTGAATCACACTGACAAAATAGGAAAACATACATTGCGCTGGAAAGGTGAGGTCACGCAATCAATTAGCATTTTGAAAATAATTTTCTCATCATTTTGTATGTTTTCATCAAGAAGCATTATATGAGATTAAAGATTAAAGAGGGAATATACTGTAAATGGTCGACATATGAAAATTGTTGTTCACAAGGCAGAATGGCAAGAACAGAAACATGTGAAATTGATGTTAATTACGGTACGAGAGGAATACATTCCACTCATCTCTGACTACATCTATGCAACACATTTAAATCTGCTTCATCCAAATGATTACCAGTGATATCATCACTACATTAATCAGAGCTAAACAGTTAAATACAGCTGAGAAATTGACAAAGGTGTGTGTTCATACTTTTATGCTGGACTCAAAATGAAATATCAAACAGATGTTGCTTTCATTATGAGATATGCATAGCCACTTGATTCGTGGAGAGCCAGAAAGGCACTAAGTCATATCTTTTAACACAACGTCGACACCTCTCTGCCTCTCAATAACCCCCTGTCCACACACAACATTTTCCGTGATAAGCTATACCGTTTCGCGATAGTGATACCGTTTCGCGATAGTTTTACGATGAAATTGTGTGTGTGGACGCTCACTAACGATACGTCGTATAACGAAACTTGTCTAACGAAACGCAGGTTTGGGCATCGTTTCGAACTGAAACTCAATAAAGAATCACGCCTAATCACGAAAATGTTGTGTGTGGACAGGGGGAGTGTAACTAGTGTAACTAACTGGGCGGGGCTTAACGTGACCTCGAGCGAAAGGAGACCAGACTGTAGAGTTTCAGGATTACTTTCTTCTGTTTATGGACATCCTTGAATTTATACAATGATTATTTATATGAAGTTTCTTGTGTGTGGACACTTTGAAATTTATACTATGATTCTTTATACGACGTTTCGTTATAGAGTTTCGGGTTAAATTGTTTTGTGTGTGGACACGCTGTAAGATGATTATTCACGATATTAAATGAAGCACATCTTGAAGAGAGACTATGAAACAACCAGGGCATGAACTCCAGCACATATCAAAGCGAAAAGCCAGAAAAGTAAAAACGGTTCAGTGTATCTAGTTAAGTCCTTTTCAAAACAATACATCCATCATCTTGGCCAAATAGCTTCCCCACCACTACAAACTCCAACAAAGCATAATATTTACTTGTTCCACTTTTTAAAAGGTCTACATTTGCCCATGTACTCTATAACACTACCTAATTTGTCAAACTGAATTAGGCCTTGGATATCCACTTATCATGGCATTGCTTTACTCCCTGTCTTGCTGGAGTCTCTGGCTTTGTTATGATAGTAAATGTATCTTGCTTTCTTTCTTCTTCGTGTTTGTTTTGTTTGTTTTTTGCCTTTATCTTTTTTGTAGAATTGTGTCACCTCACCCTAGTATATCATCCATATTTGCTCCTATTGTTGTCTGTCTTCATAATATCTTTTTCATAGTGTATTGTTTTTCCTTCCATAGACCCATTTGATATTTCGAGTTGCTTGTTAAATTTTTTTCAGTTGGATCAGATCATGAAGATTGTCCTACAAAAAAAATCTTGAATCGCATTTTGATATTTTACTATCCAATTAGTAGTTTAAATTGTTTTAACCTTTTTTCTATCCCTCATTCGTGTTTTAATATTTCTTGTTTCCTCAATTGCAATTTTAATTTCAATTTATTGATGTTTCCAACAAAACACTACAAATCAATTATTAGCATTTAAAACAATTGTACGAAATACATGTTCGAAACAGAGGGGTCCATCAAAAAGCAATGCTTGTACAAGTGTGAACACCTCGAATGATACTTAGGAATAATGAGTAATTAAATTAACTAATCCGTAACTCCAAAAGGAACTACAAAATGAGGGGAAGGAAAAAGGGGGATGCCAACAGAGACGAGAAAGGGACAAGACTTCCTCACTTTTTTCATTCGACTTACCACACTTTAATAATATCAAGTGGGCTATGAGAAAAGGAGAGAAAGAGATTCTTTTGCACTCTCGTTGGCTATCCAGATACTTCTCTATGTAATTTTGGGGGGTTTTGTGTCTGCTGTTGCCATGGTGATTTAAGTCAACAATTTGCCAGTAGGTTCCTAACCTTCGGTCGTGCCATGTCCAGTTTCCCTCAGATTGCCAGAAGTTTTGTGTTGCTACGTTCCGCCGTCAACACGAGTGGGCTTCAGCACTACAGAACAGGGGCAGCTAGAAGTGAAGATGAGGCTGATACAGAGCTGAATCACTTAGGAATGTCTGTGAAGGGATGGCACAAAGATTAATATGTGGGACTAAAAGGACTAATTTGTCATTCAAGTGCAGGTGTATAAAGTGGTTATTTATAGCAAGTAGTGGTGGTATCTTGCAAAAACCACTGAAGGAGACCATAGAATTAGAACAACATCAGCAGAGGTAGAGGTTTGACATAATTTTTTCAAAAGGTTGAAAGCAATGAGTGAAGGGGCTAACTGAATGGAATTGGGATGGTTAATAATAGCCTTTCAACCTCATTTCATTTGATTTGTAATATATATCTCTTTCCTCTTGCAGTTTTCTATCATTACAGAATCAGTGCCAACTTCAAGGCCTTTTTTTTCATTTATATCTTTTTTTTAATAGCCTCCATCTGCAATCTACTCAGGTGAAATAGTTCCATCTGAACTTCTGTTACTGTCTTTTCTAAGAAAAGAAAAAAAAGCGGAAGTCCATCGAAAACAGAACCACTTGAGTCTACTGAAAAACGTGCTTCTTATTCCTCCAGTGACATCCCCCCAGTGGTACGATCCGCATGCTATGTTCAAGTCTGTCTTGCTTAGCTAGCTGGGCCGTGTGAGGATAAGCCATTTGGATGATGTGGCATACATATATAGCACATGTTTAGTGAGCTTAGGGTATAGGTCTAATGACAAAAGCATCTTCACACCACTGAGCCAGAGAATAGTGGGAGAAAAAAAGGGGGAAAAGAGAGGAGAAAAGGTCTGTGCTCTACTCACCATGACCTGAAATAACCCAGCGTATGCACGAGCTTCAGATGTGTTTTAACAATGTGCTGAGTAACCAACCTTATCACGCTGCCCTTTTGATCTATGACCTCTCTCCCTTTGTCTTTAACCCTTCATCCTGTGATTTGACCTTCAGTCTTAACCCGAGTAGGAGGCATGTCAGAGGTCAAATCTTTTCAACTTATCGTACATTTATTTGACATAGATTTATGTTTTTTATCAGTTGGTATCATTTTGGAAACATGCCTAAATCATGGGATTCGCCCTGTTCTTGCAACATTTCCAGTGATGTCAGAGTTTAGGCAATAATTTTTTCAGATGAAAAAAGGTTTGTTATTAACAAAGAATTATAAGATTAATTTAAATAGTCGGATCTTCTTATTATTGTCATTGCAAATTGCTTTGTATCCAACACTGAGAGATACCTTCATTTGATAGATGCATATTTTCTCATCTCTAGCTTTGATATTATTGCTGATTTTGTAATTATATTGCTTCATTATGGCTTTCTAGATTTGAAAGGAAAAAAAAAGCTGAGTTGTTGGTGATTCTATCCATCTGTCTATCTTCACCTCCTAACTTCTCTCATCCATAGCATATGGCATTGGGACCTGAAGAAAATCCCAAGATGGCATTGCGAAATTACAAAGTCCTCCATCATTACGGTATTCTGACCACAAAGGTCTTCAGCATTAAAGCCCTTTTTGGTTCCATATATCCCCTCATCACGAAACCCCTCTCCTCCCATCTCACCCTCGCTCCATCTCTTCTCCCTCTCTCTATCTTCATCTCTCCATCTCTCCACCCCTCTCTCTCTCTCTCTCTCCTCATCTCGGTTGCAGTCTTAGTTTCTCCGGCCCACTGAAGCGTGACCGCCACGCATGGCTGTGCGTCAGCCTGGCTTGTTCATTATTGATAACGCAGGCACTTACAAGAAAATTGCTTGCTTCTGGTGTCATAAAATCAGCATAATTACTGTGCTATGATGTGAAATCTGACTTGGTGTTGTTTAATGAGCATTGTCTATGAAATGCCTTCTGGGTTATTTAAATCTCCATTTGTGACACCTAACGTAGTTTGAAATACTACAATAACCTTCTGTCATTATATCTAGAGTATATTTGCATTGTATATTCTACAAGGATATCTCTTGACGTTCCTTCTGTGGTATCATTCTTCCAATCAGGCCCTTACTATTTTTACTTTGGGAAGTATGATTTGATATTGGAAATCCTACATTTTTAAAAACTTGTTTGATGAAAGAGCATTTTCTGTTTTGTAATCTGCACTGATGGTAGAAACTTAAATTTTGTGATGTATTTTGTGTCACTGTCAATAATTGAGTGCTAATAAGGTGGCGGGGGGGGGGGGGGGTCATTTTATTTTTTGTGACTGCTCTTCAATTTGTATTTGTAATTAGGTAATTATTAGCTGGACATTTGGAAAGGAAGAGAGAGGGAGAGAGAAAGAAGGGAAAGAGAAAGAGAGAGAGAGAGAGAGAGAGAGAGAGAGAGAGAAGGAAAGATAAAAGAAGGGAAAGAGAGAGAGGGGGTGGGGAGGGATTGGAATGGAAGGGGGGAGGGAGGGGGGCGTTCCTCGGAGAAAAAATATTGCTGTTGGTTGTAGAACTTATCAGATCTGTCTTTTGTTTTAATAAATAAACAACCCAAAGATGAAGAAGTCCTCGATTCAATAGGCCTTTATTAAACAGCGGCGTGGTGCGGGGGCAGGCATGATGCGATCGGGATGATTTAGCAGTAAACCCAAGCGAGAGTTTGAGCAGCTGAGCTGGGTGAGTGGACGGAGTTCATGCAACTTTGATTGGCCTCCCTGGCCAGCTCCTCGATCCTCCTCCATACCTGATTATATGAGGGACTCGCTGGATTGCACTTGGTGGAGGGATCGTCCTCTAATTAAGCATTGTCACGGTTACTGCTTATGTCTGATTTGGTCTTCTCCAATAACTTCATCGCAGGGCATGTGTGGAGCGTCCAAGATGGCGGAAGGCGATCGAATTCGGGAAAGAAGATTTGTGATATTAAAACGGAAGTCTGGAAATTATTTGATGTGAAAAGTGCATGAAAATGTTGCTTCTAGATACCCTGCAATGGAGATAGTCAGCCACAGGTCATGACATTAATAAGTTTTATGCGTATTCCCCATATATTGGTGTGTATATAGCAAGGGGTACGGGGTACTGGAGTTTGCTTTCAAGAATTAAACACCTTTTTAATTTGGAATATTCAAAATACTTTGGGGTTAATTGTGTTTAAAAGCTTTTCAGACAGGTCATTGGGAAAAGTTTTTAAGGGTATTTTAGGGTCATTTTAGGGGCCTTTTATTGACTATGATGATACTTCAGAAGTATTTTGACGATATGATTGTAGAGGACTATATATCATTGAAGATCTTTCTTGACTTGTAAAGCGCCTTGTGGAGGACTGTATGTTGCAGACGCACCTTTTACACTATTGTTACGAAAAATGGACACGATCTTAAAGGCACCTGACGTGGGAGACACCATGGGCGAGAAATGAAGCAAAACCTGCGAGGGAGCAAACGCCACCAGAGTGACCTTTCAGCGACCCAATTCCTAATCTCCTTCTCTTTTTTTTCCCTCCGCACTTGGTGGCGGTGATGCCCAAAACATCTGCCCGACATTTCTTGCATCCTTGTTTGCGATGCTTGTAAGTGGAGCAGTGCTGATATTACATAGGGGTGACAACACCACGTATTTACTACTACACAGGGATAAAAACAATGGCAGATGTTAACGCACAGAGCAACCCTAACCCAGACAGTTTGAAACTTGAGAATGTCTTCCGAATGTCTTCTAGCTTTGAAGGCAAATAGAATATAAACTGATACTTAGTTTCTTGATGCTTCATAAGGATTTGGTTTTCATAGCTCCTTGACAATTTAAAAGTCCTTTTACAATTGTCATTCTACATAAAGAAGATATTTGTAAATTTTGAAATATATGATTTGAATTTAAATCCCACGATACAAAAACAAAGGAATTTGAAATGTATCTTATTAATATTGCAAAATAATACACATATTAGAATTGTATTTCTAATAAACATATTTGTACAGTAAGCACTTCCCCCTTTGCTATTGTAGACAGTTATTGTCTTATCACTTTTCACAGAGTTTGAAAATGTGGATGATCATACATGTAATTTTTTCTGGAGTTACAATTTTGCTATGGTACTGTGGTAACTTTAAGTACAGGAATAATAATAATATAATATTTACTTTTTATATAGCGCTTAATACAAATGTCTCTAAGCGCTTTACAAATATATACTATTACCCCGGTCATTGGATTCAGTGCTTGCCCGCACACACTGTGTGCACAATCTCCACTCCCTGGGGAGCATTCCAGCCGGGCGTTACTTGACGCTCACAAGCTGTTTGACCAACAATAACGGTCGCATCCTACCGGGTACCCATTTAACACCTGGGTGGAGAGTAGCAAGTGCAGGTTAATATCTTGCCAAAGGATATTAGTGCCGTGTCGGGATTCGAACCCTCGACCTTCGCAGATCGAATACAGATCGATGTGTTATATTGAGTGCTAAATGAACATCCCACCATTGACTTTGTATGGTAGTTTAATTTCATTTGTTGATTTCCGTTTTACACAATATGTTCTAGTTTTTTGACGATCATGATGATTGATTTTGCTCAACAAGCATATCCCCAATACGGCCATTGTAGATGTTGACCCCAGCATTTCATTCGCATAAAACCATTTCTGAAACTATTTTCATAAATTCCTAAATTAATGACTGCCATGCAGCATTGCAATTAGCATCACTATTAACATTGCCAGTGAAAGTATATTATTCATTTATTCATTCATTTTATTCCATCTTTGCCACAGTATACCATTTTGAAGTGGCTGCCATGTGTCAACTTCTGAATTAGCATTTCCCCCCTTTTTTAGCGCAGTGGCATTGGTAATACTCAATAGAATGGTAATTTATTCAACACATTTACAATGAGCCTATCAATCAAGTATAATGCATGTGTATCCTTAATGTCACAGAGTGAGAATATTAAGTGGTGTCGGGATGACAGCGTTGTTCGCCCTGTGGAGGGGACGATGTGGAAAGAATCGTGTAGGGGATAGGAATGATGCAGGAGCAGCAGTTTAACCCTTATGTCACTGAATGGGTTCAGGCGAATGTTTTCTGCAAGCGATGATCTCTAGGTTAAAATCAACGAGCAAGGATTTAATAAAAATGAGATACCTTGGTCAGGAATCCATTTAA